GATTCAAGCAATTCTCCTGCCTCAGCCTCCCAAGTAGCTGGGATTACAGGAACCCACCACCACACCTGCTAATTTCAAGAACTGATTTTAAAAGAGAGTGCTCTCTATAAATTCTCAGCATTAGACAGCATTCCTGTGTACTTACTATTAACAAAAGTATATGGAATGATTTTAAATCCTTTTTTTCCTGAATACTAGATGATTACTAGATGATTAAATGAAGACAAGCTAGACTGATTGGAACTGAACTTCAGGTGAAGTCGTACCTTAGTGAAGTGGAAGGCTAGGGATAGAAGCACCTGTCCAAGTCTTCTTGGAGATGATGGAGGATTTGCTTTAGGATGATCTTAAGATTCATGTTTTATAAATTGGACAGGCTCTGAAAGTTCATAGAAGACTTTTCTATATATTTTTGAATATGGAAGACAAGTTATCAAAAGTGAGAAGAAACCCATTTCTGTTTTTTCAGGCATAAAAATGTATAGAGATGGTGAGAGACTGTCCATTTGTGAGGTAAAGAAGGCATAAAGAGAGCACAACCTTTTGTTTTGTAATAATGATAGGAATTCATATTTTACAGAAGAAAAAATAAAGAACTAAAAATTTCAAACCCCTGTTTCTGATACTTACCTCCTGTGCTGCCCTCCCTTTATTCAGTATATGCATTTCCTCCCCACTAATTGCATATGAATCAGATAGCCATCAGCTGCTTCCATTCTCACTGAATTTGGATTATGTGACAGACACAGTGGCAGTCGTCTGTACTGTATTTCATTTTACCTCGGGAATCAAGATCTAAAACTACCAGAAATGGTTATTACTAAAAAACCAAGGATACAATTTGTGACATCGTAGCCCCATCTACTGGATGATTCCATGCTTCTAGAGCTATTTCATTCTTTGTCATATTTTGTGTATCATAATTTCAGTGACAGCTTTATTTCTACGGTTCCTCTTGCTCATCCTCCCCAGTGAGAAAGCCTTTTCGGTAGGCTCAGTTTAGGTGGCTGGCAACTAAAATTTCCTATCTGTTGGAAGAGTATCTCCTATTTATAATGGTTATTCAGTTATTTATGTACAAAGTCACATTTATATAAAGTACTTTAAGAAATTAAGTTATTTTTCTGTTTCTTTAAAAAGGGGTTCTGGCCAGACACAGTGGCTCATGCCTGTAATCCCAGCACTTTGGGAGGCCAAGGTGGGAGGATCATGAGGTCAGGAGTTCAAAACCAGCCTGGCCAATATGGTGAAACCCACTCTCTACTAAAAAATATGAAAATTAGCTGGGCGTGGTAGCACGTACCTGTAGTTCCAGCTACTCGGGAGGCTGAGGCAGTAGAATCACTGGAACCTGGGAGGTGGAGGTTACAGTGAGCCAAGATCGTGCCATTGCACTCCAGCCTGGGCAACAGAGACTCTGTCTCAAAAAAAACAGTTCTGTTCTTTTTAAAGTGGAATCTGACAGGATCTTTTGTTTCTAAGAGGTTTCATTCTTTTTTTTTAAGCAAAAACTACAGCTTGAAGTTTTTTAAATATGTAGTGAATGTTCTGACCAAATATATGTAATTTTACTTCGAGTGTTTTAACAATGACTTTTCTAAGTGGAAGACCCTGGTAGAACTCGACATGTCCTAGTCAGTGACATGGAGTGAGAACTTACCTTAGTAACAAATCCCACTGCTAGCTGCTAAGAAGCTTTATCAGGTTTAATGGGGAAAAGCCTTGTACTGATACATATTGTGCATATGTTTGCATGTAATGTGTACTTGTGTACATAGTGTGTACTTATACATATTACATGCATATCACATGTGTGGACTGAGTCATGTGTGTCCTGACTTTACTTCAGTGCTCATGTCTAAGGTGTTCCTTTGAGCTCTGAGGTGATGTGCATGAAAATTTTCGTCAGCTCTTGGGTGAAACAGGTTAAATATGAGGGCTCTGATGTAAAGCAAGGATCATACTACATCTGAGGGCTTCCCTGTGTCCCTGGGATTGGTCTCCACATAGTAACAGTCAAGCGGAGAGAAGGAAGCTGGATGGAATGAAAGGGAGGACTCAGGACTGACCCCTCTTCCACACACCACCGAGTTCCTCCCTATATACAGAACCTCTATACACATTACAAGATTCTACCTGGAGGAATGGCTGTCACGGCTTTTCTTATGATCCTTGCAGATACAGCTCTGCTATTACATTGTGGGTGTTCAACACATCCGTCAGACTGGGTTTGGGTTCCTTACAGAGAACGGCCTTGTCTCATTTAACGGCTGCTTCGCTCCGCTCATTGCTTCTCTCTACTGGATCTTAACACATGTTTGTTGGATTAAATTATAGATCATAGATGATGAAATGATACTTAGTATACATAGTCGTGTGGTATTATTAAAGCAGATTTTTTTCTTTTCAGCAAACCATTCCTCAAGCAACTGCAGCAAAATATCCCCGGACCATTCATCCTGAAAGTAGTACCTCAGCTTCTAGATCACTTGGAACCAGATCAGCTCACGCCCAGTCTCTCACAAGTGTTCAGTCCATAAAAGTGGTTGACTGAAGTGAATATGCCCATAGTGGGGTCTTTTCATTCCTCTGGACTTACTAAGGGTTAGAAGTCTTTTGTTTTTAACTTTCCATATTGTTAGAACATCATGGCTGCATCATGTTCATCTGTTCAAAATTACAAGAGGCTTTTTCAAGCTCTACCATGCTTTGTAACTATATGTAGAAATTATTTTAATGTTATTTTTTATTTAAGTAATTAAGTAAAACTTTTTTAAATTAAAAAAGAAACTGGACTTTATTTTTTAATATGTTTAGCCTGTTGCTGATTATATCATCAAAGTATATAAATTCATTTTCACTATTTATAAAACACTAAATCATTTCCAATGTTACACAGCTGTAATTAACTCAAAGTGTTGAGAGGGAACCTTACTTAAACTATTAGAAAACTATTAGAACTAGTAGAAACTGTGATATTTTTATTTTTAATTTAAAAAGTTAAAGACCAAGTGTAATAAGGATTTTTTTTTTTTTCTGACAGAGTCTTGCTTGTCACCCAGGCTGGAATGTAGTGGTGTGACCTCAGCTCACTGCCTCCTTCTCCCATGGTCAAGTGATTCTCCTGCCTCAGCCTCCCGAGTAGCTGGGATTACAAGCGCCAGCCACGACACCTGGCTAATTTTTGTATCTGTTTCAGTAGAGTTGAGGTTTCACCATGTTGGCCAGGCTGGTTCCGAACTCCTGACCTCAAGTGATCCGCCCGCCCTAGCCTCCCAAAGTGCTGAGCCTCCCAAAGTTCTCATTACAGCCATGAGCCACTATACCCAGCCTCAAGTTTTCTGTAGCTTTTGTCTATTAGTCTTCATTTTTTCGGAACTCTGACAGTTGACAATAGATGGAAATGGCAACACCTATGTTTAATGCCAAAAGGGAAAACATTTTTAATGCTAGAACAGAGTTACTGAAGTATCAGAAGTTTCCTGTTAGAATGATCCTGTTTCTATTATTCTTTCTCACCTTATTTGAAACTCTGCAGCACTGAACTGACATTGTTCCCCCAAAAAATCTAAACACTGTCCTGTGATGATACAGCCTTGTGCAACTCAGCAAACCTAGGCCTGGGCAGAAATTGTTCAATGGCTGGCCAATACAAAGAAACCATCTGGGCAGAACTGATTTAGGTGAATGAAACCTGGATTCTAATGGTTTTATTGCTGACTGATTGTGTGGGTCACACAATTTAAATGAACCTCTGGATCCTCATCTGTGAAATAAGAGTAAAATCTACCTACTATTTCACAAGTACTTACGTAATACATAAAAATGAGCAGGTTCTAAAGAGTCTGTCCAGGACCTCAATTTCCATATCCTTAACAGAGTGGATGGACTTAATCACCTGTAGCCTCTTCTAATTTGAATATAAGTTCTCTGCACTAACTTTTATTATAGGAAAGAGGTTTTCTTGCTGCCTCACATGTTCACAGGACATCGGAAAATAAATGCGATACAGGCAAATAGTATCCCATTTTCTAATGGGGCCCACTAAGGCCTTTCTGAATTATTATCAGGCTGTTTCTTAAAGAGTATTAGATACTTACACAACACTTGTTCCGGGTTCTGGCCCAGCTACCATTGTGGCAAACGGCTCCACCCATCATGGGCTTCAGCAAGCTTTTCATGAACACAAACCACCAGCACCTCATCTCGTGCGTGCTCTTCCCGGGCTTCTCCATTCACTCCCAATTGATTTGGGAGAGTACAGGCTCCACTGGGGAGCCCACTCATGCAGCCGGGAATTAACACCCACATTGTGGTAAACAGACCAATTCTTCCTTCCTTCTCCCCTGTGTGAATTGTCCTGAAATGTATTAGTACATCGTGTCTCTCAGAATAAAGTAGCCCACGATTAAATAATCAGTTATGCTTGTACCAAGTACCAAGTGGTGGTGGCAACTTTGGTAATTCACTTTGTCCTCCTCATTCTCTCTCCTTCCCTGGACAACTCCCCTTTCCCTCCACTCCTGCTTCCCTATATGTACACTTCTGAAAAGGTTGTTGCACGTAAACGTCGGCCTTAAGCTCCACTTTTTGAGGAATCTAGACTACAACTAGGAATGGTTTTCAGTATTCAAGCCAAAACAGTATGGACAAACTAAAGTGAATATTATGAATGCTGTGATTAAGAATATTATAAACATCTTTTTAAGCTTTAAGCTCTGGAAATGTATGTTGTCTAAAGCACCAAGCAATTAATGTTGGCCTAAGTTAACGTAAATTCAACAAACACTTTACACAGTTATAGTATGTATTCATATTTGTTTATTTTCACATAAAGAGGTTGCCCCAATCTGGTGGGGAGCAGCAATAGAGAGGTCAGTGGAAACTGACCATACTGAAGAACAGATGGGACAAGACTTCTCAATAAATTTTTGAAAAATGTTTTGGAGGCATGTGAATCGATTACCTGTTTTAAACATTCCTAATATTAAGTTGTCCATTTACAATCAGTATGAGACAAAGACATAAAACTACAAATTCATGATAGAATAACTGCATTGAAATTGTTCATGATTTTATTATGTGCCTTGTAAATTTAGAGTCAGAATCTGAGAATGGAGTCTTAAATTCTAATGAATAGGTGACATAAACTGACACAAATTCATACTTGATTTTACATTTATTTCATAACTCTCAGGTTTCAAAAATAATGCTTGTTTGTTGTAAAGAAATTGGAATGTGCCCAAAAGTACAAGAAAAATAATAATCTGTAATTACAACACCAAGAGATGTTTTTAAAAATTGGTGTACATACTTCTGGTCTTTTCTAAGTAACATATTACACATTATGTGTGATTTAAAGTCAGCAATGACTGTAAATTTCCAAACCCAGTTTCTCTTACTGAAACAGTGGATCTCCATACTGTGGGCATGAGGCTAGCTAGGCATTTTCCCTTCATCCTCACTCCAGCCCTATGGATTGGATAGACATTTGTCCCACTTTATAGGAAACTGAAGATCTAAGAACTTAGATAACATGAACATGCTCAAAGATTCACATCTAATAAGTGGCAAAACCAAGTTCACAACCACATCTGTCGATTGTAAAAACCGTTGGTTTTTTGCTGTACCATGATGCTGCTCCCATGAGTTAAAAAAAAAAAAAAAAAGACAGCAAAACCCTCCTAGATTATCTTATTACATGTGTTCCATCAAATGACAGAAATGGGAAAATCATACACAACTTTCCCTCAGCAAAAAAAGCTATTTGACTTTTCAGTGGTTGAAAAGTATCATGGGATTACTCTTCTTTCATCTGTCAGAGCACCCTATCACCACCATCCTCAGAGCTGGAAATCAATGCTACTCCCTACTGCTGGAAGAAATTTATGGCATTAAAAGAACTGAATGCTGAGTGGACAATCATGTAAATACAATTTCTTTAGACATTTATGAAACTGCACATTTCTTGGAGTTTGAGTCAGTTTTGCTTTTGAAATGACGAGTCTTTTCTGGAAAAAATAAGATGACATATATTAATACCTAACATTTTTAAAGCACTTACTTTGTACCAGGCACTATTGCTCATTAAATCCCACAACAGTCCTTTGAAGTAAACATTTTTATTTCTTTCCTAGTTAATAAATGAGAAGGTTGTCACAGGGAGGTCACAGAGCTTGCTCAAGATTTACTACCAGTCAGCTTTGGAGTTCAAGAGTGAACCCACACAGCCTTGCATCAGGACACATACCCTTAGCCAGTTCAGTGGGCTGCATCATCGTCTTCTCTGAGAGTTCTTTTGAAACCTCTTTCAGAGGAAGAATACATTTAATCCTTTTCCCATTTAGAAAAAAAGTGCAGCTCACTGCCAGGGCTTCAGCTTTACATAAACACGCTCTTTGAGGCAGAAGTAAATCTGACTGATTTTCAATGTGAAAAATATAAAAACTGTTCTTGGAGTTATTTCTAAACAGAACTAACATCAGAATAGTCTGAATCATCCGAATTGTCAATTTCTGCAAAATTGGATTCACTGAATGAATCTTCAGCCGACAGTCATTTGAGAATGATGTTAACATCGCATGTAGGAATGCTATATTTTCTAGGACTTAACATTTTTCAACAATCAAGAGTTTCCATATTTTGTACATGGAAATGCCACTACTAAAAACAGAATGCTATAAGTAGAATGATGTCTTTTGTTTCCAAAGTCAATGTACTAGAGCGATGCAAAAATAATAATAAAAGTAAGATAATTCATGGCACAGTTTCCTCAGGGGAAATGCTGCAAGCACCGCTGGTGAGTATTCTCGGGGCAAATGGGAACAGGGTTAAGAGAAAATTTCCAATCTTAAGATATAATGTGATGAAAAGTAGGTATCCACACACTGTTCCTTGTACCTGCTACTGCTGGGAACTACTAGATCACTCGGTGTTCAGTCATTTATCTCCTTGCTCCAGGTAAAACTGCTTCGTAAAAATAATGGCAGATGTTCCTACACTTTGTTTGAATGCTTGTTATTATATGAGAGTTACAACACCTCCTAATTTATAAGTTTTTAAAGCATCTTTCCTGACAATATAGTCAGTCATTTTGGCAGAGTGATTTTTAGCAATAACCTCAGGTGGCCTGTCTGCTCCTTTTGTTCCACCTAGAGAAAACATTTTCAGATCCACTAACGTGCAGTTTCTTAACAGGGGCAAAATGGCATTTTGAGCAAGACAACTCTTATTGGTGGAGAACAATCCTATAACTGCACGGGATGGTTTAGCACTTCTGCCCCATCCCTCCTCCCCCACCACACGTACACAGAAGCAAAAACACTCCCACAGTTCTTCAAATGCCCGGCAGGGGGAGACGTAGAACTGCCAGGCTAACAGGTGACCAGTATTCACTGGGTCATTCCCCAAAGAAGAAGCTGCTGACAGCTTACAAGCCCCTTGCATAGTTCCATACTCCGTGTGAACCACAGCTAACACCACGCTGGGACTGCAGCTGGTCAGGATGGTGTTTCTGTAGACTGCTCCCTGACATTTTAAGGGAGATAGAATTTCTGTTGAAACTGTCACTTACCAGCTAGTTTGGAGAAACCTGCGCGTACCAGCTCTTCATACAGGTGCTTGGCCGGATCAGCCTGAGTCATCAGGGTCCCGTGTAGCCAGATAAGTAGAGCCCTGTGGCCATGTTCCCGGAAGCTTTCATTTCCTGCACCAAGCACAAGAGGTCCGAGGTAAAACACCATGAGCTGCTATCTCTTTCCATTGTAATTTCAATTCCAACTAAACTTTCTGAATGACTGTGGTTGCAAGTCCGTTCTTCTTCGCATAAAGCCCTTCCCAGTGCCCTCACTGGACTGCCTTATGGTGACCAGCATTTGCATGCCCTCCAGCCCTTGCCATGATGCACCTGCTGTGCTTGACACACACCCAAAGGAGTGTACAAGAGAGAGGACAGTTGTAGTGCCTGCCCAGTGGTAACAATTTTGATGAGATGTGCAACTTCTCATAGACCAATGCTCCTCAAACTCACAGTGCCTCTTTCACCCGAGTATCTTACTAAAATGCAGGTTCAGATTCAGTAGATCCGGGGTAAGAATCCATGCATTCGCCAACTCTCGGGTGCTGCCGCTAATGCTGCTCTATGTTCACCACTCTGAGCTGCAAGCACGCACGGTTCATTCTGCCACTCCAGTTCCAAGGGAGCTACTCTGATGGAAGTTTGCATCCCTGGGCCAGGATTATTCATTTGACAAATACTCACTGGATAACTCAGCCTGGAGAGGTGTCGGGGTAAGTACTGGGATTGGAAGCCACAAAGCCACTGTGGTTCCCAACAGGAGTTCAGTTACCAACACACTACATGCTCCTTGCTGTGAGGGAGAGTGTGCAGGAGCAGACATGCTGTGCAAGGAAAGAAGCTTAGCTCTGGGGGCGCAAGGGAGAAGTTCACTGGACAGACTGTTAGAGAGGCGGGCATTTCAGGGAGAGGACCTGCATGCTTACAGAATGTACTCCTGGGCAGGTCCTCTGTTCCTTTCCTAATCTTGCTCTTGATACACTAATTTTTCTTAAATACCATCATGAATCTGTCACTTCTTTGCTCAAAAGCCCACAAACTCCCTGGTGCTAGTAACCTTACCCTAGATCACAACATAATTGAATTGTAAATGTCATTGTTATTGTGCCAACTAGATTATAAACTCCCTGAAACATGTATGGCTTAGAGAGCTGATGTATGTATCCCTCATCCGGCAGAGATAAACACTCCAGGCCCTCCGTAAAGGTTTCATCGAAACACCTTAAAATCCCCCTTATCCTGTTGGCAAGTACTCTGAGGGTACACTGTATTTACAAGTCATCTCTTTAGGTCAAGACAGAGTTCCAGGAGGCAACTCAATTTTCCTAAAGACTTCACTATAAGCCTTATTCATGATGAAAAAGAAATCTTAACAATAAAAAATCTTTTCTAGTTAGAAACTAGCTAGTATTCCATGTTTTCAATACCTTATCTTCTATCTCTCATGTGAAAATGTATCCTAAGAATGAGCAATACACAGTCCCATAATTTACTTGTATGTGGTATAAACAGCATGTGCTCAAGGGCTGTGCTTCTGCCATCCCCAGTTCCCAGCAATCACTAATACAAATCTATCCCTGAGCAGGGACACCGTCTCGTCTTAGGATGTCCACGAGAGGGCAGTGCTCTGAATAGAAAACTTTGCCAAGAAACGTATTTGCTTCATTGGTTATTTTATTTTATTTTTTTTTTTTATGTTTGAGACGGAGTCTGCCTCTGTCGCCAGGTTGGAGTGCAGTGGCGTGATCTCGGCTCACTGCAACCTCCACCTCCTGGTTCAAGCAATTCTCCGACCTCAGCCTCCCCAGGAGCTGGGACTACAGGTTCACGCCACTATGCCCAGCTAATTTTTCTATTTTTAGTAGACATGGAGTTTTACCATGTGGGCCAGGTCTGGACCTCTTGACCTCGTGATCTGCCTACCTCGAAGTACTGGGATTACAGGTGTGAGCCACCGTGCCCGGCTGCTTCATTGTTGAATTAGTTTATTAATGCCAGGCAAATTTCTGTATTTCCTAGGTTTCGGTCTAACCACAAAAAAAGCAAAACTAAGGAATCCAGCTGATCTGACCTAACCAATTCTGACAGCTTGAGTCCAGCTGAAATGATTCTATTGTTTGAATCATCTAGGCAAGACAGCCCTGGGTCTCATCTCTTATGAGACAGCCAAGGCTCCCATAAGGCCGAGTCCTACAAGAACCCCTTCCCCCACACCCACCTGGTTTAAGGAATTCCTCTTTCTGGAGTGCAAACTTAAACAGTGAGCTTACTGATTACAGAATAAATCCATTCACCCCAGGACAGTCTCAAGGAACACTAGAAATCAGATTGGCTTCCCACTGGCACACCAACTGTTAAATCCTTGCTTCCTTAGTGACTGTCCAGTGGGAACCCTAATTTCTTTCTAAATGCCACGTTTGATATGGCTCAGTAAACATAATCATCCCTTGCAAACCAGTTTACTGCAAACCATGGTGTTCACTTTTCTGCAAATCTTAACGTCCAATCACTGGTGTGGACCTAAGCTAGCAGCCCCTATTCCTGGGCCCTCAAAGACTGCGGCTTACTGTGAGTGCCATGTACTTTCTTGGAAGACCTCACACCAGGAGGCATTGCTGTTCCTAACAGTGAATTCCTCCTGCCCACATCATCCAGTCTGTACTCACCCGACCACTGCTCCTCTATGGCTCTAATCTGGTCATCTGTAAAGTTCCATGAACGGGCCAGCCTCTGCCACTCATTGGCCTTCAGCTGATGATAAGCCAGGTCCCAAAGGAGCGTGCGAATATGTCTGGTCTCCAAACTGTGATCTTGCTTGAATGTCAGAGTAAAGCCTGTTGATGGGTCCCTGATACTCTCGTGATGCTCCTAAAGTGAAAATAATTGTATCAGAAGATTTCAGACATGTTCTACTTACTACCTTATTTCATAGTATATATGTTTTTCAAACATAACTGGTAAGGCAGTAACCAAGACTATGTTTTCGATGCCATCTGTCACTGGATCATGGTTTTGCCATCCAAAATGGAAACAAATGCTTGAAATCAAAAGTTTGGGTATCGTCCGTCCGACATAGAAAATGGGAGGGATTTTGCCTATTGTGTTCCATGCTGCTTAGAACAGAGAATGAGAACAGAGAGGCTGTCTTGGAGAAGGGTGTGTCACAACAACAAAACCATCACTAATGGACTTCGTTTGAATCCATACCCCCTTTCTTCTTTTGTTTAGTTGATGTTCTCATATCAAAGCTTCAGTGGGCCCAGATTGGGTGTATCCCTTATAAGATCACATAGCTGGTCCCTCATTCATCCTGCTGTCTAGTAAGCATGAGGAGAGGAAACCAGGAGCCTAACTCCGGGTGGGACTTGGGGAACAGGTGACCAAGGGGGTGGAGAGGACAGGAGTGGATATCATTTAAAGTCACTGCAGCCAGGCTCAGCCCAACAGCACTATGCCTAGATTGGCGTCTTGTTTTCTGTCTGTGTAAAGGTTCCACAGAATTCACCAGAGTCCTACAGAATTAAAACAAAAACACTGGAGAAAAATCCCTGAGTGAAAGCAGGAGCACCTCTTCCTAGAACTGCCTCTTGTGCTTACACCACTCAGGCTCCAGGTAATCTTCCTGCAGAAAGCTGCAAATCAGTTAAGGACATCCAGGACGCGTGGCCCACCAAGAAGTCTGGGGCTTCCTGTCTACCTCTCCTTTTTCATGTATAGCGACTTCTATTTTTGTCTTTCACTTAAATAAAGGTGTATCTTAATGAAAATATTCTTCGCAACAAGATGAGAGTCAAGGCTGGGGCAGGAAATGGATCAAAAGGGAACGGGACCCTGGATTTCAAAACTAATGAGAACTTGATGGGACAGGCTCATCCCCACCATGGATCAGCCTGCACCCTGCACGGCACCAGCAACCTCCTCCAGAAAGCTTGACAGGGGAAGCACAATAAGCTCCTCCTGGGAAGCTTGGCCAAGAAGGGCAAAACCCTCCTCTACTGTCTGAACTTTGTGTACAGAAGTTGGAAGAGGAATGGGAGGCATGAAATACCCACAATCGTTTCAGAGACTAAAAGGCAGGGTCTTCTCCAACCCAGCCTCAGCTTTACTTCCACAGTGCCTAGCTCCCAGGAATTCCAAAGGAAGTAAGGTTGAGGATGGGGAGATCAACAAACTTGGGTACTGTGGGCCACTTCTCTTTGTCCTTTTCTCCTCATTCCATCTTCTGAAACAATGATGAATCCAGCAAGATCAAAAGCCTAAACGTCACAAGGGAAAGGGAAGAACACAAAATGCTTCCGCATTTATCTTTGTGCGGTAACATTTTTAGTTCTTCAAGAAACTTAACATGGTTTTGCATTTCAGGATTGGGCTGGGTGGTCCCTCAGGCTTCCATCAAAAAGGGCAGGAGACTTGGAAAGCCTAGGTCTTTTTCAGCAGTCAGTGAAAGCATTAAATAGCTTGCCTGCCAAAGCACTGAACTATTTGCAGGAATAACATGAGCCAGAACTGGTGGAAATTAAAATAACGTAAGCCAGATTTTAGGAAGCTCCCATTTGCCTCTGAACCACTGAATTTAATGATGGATGACTGGGTGGTTATGTTAATGGATAAATGGATATAAGAGAGGAAGTTTAAATCACCTCTTTAATCCTTTTACTAGGAACCATTTTATATCAGGCAGGATATAAACTTGTTCAATGAACAAAGAGAATTTAAAATAATAAATGCATTTAGTTTTAAAAAATTGAAAAATGTATCTTAAAAGACAACTATTTCTCCAACTCCAGCCCCCAGGACCCCAGTTGTCACCAGAGTAAACAACTCTTACCATTTCTGGGGGGGTCTCCTTTAGCTATATTTATGTATTACATGTGGCTTTCAAAGTTTACCTAACTCTTATGTCTTGAAGATTCGTCAGGAAAGAGGGCATATTCATTTGGTGGGAAAATAATTTATTCTTATCTACCCAAAAGAATGTTTTTAAAGCTTCCAGGAATTAAAAATAGAACCAATGAATATTTCTATTTCCAAAGAAAATGTGAAAGCAAGTTAAAGAGAAAGAGAAAAGATGGCACTTGGTAAAGTTGTCTTCAATTAAAAAAAAAATGATAATTTAAGAAAATAAGCCTTAGGATAAGAAAAGAGGAGGAGGTAGAGGCAGGAGATGAAAGAACATAGAAAGATGAGGAATGGGGGAGAAGAAAGAGAGAATTCCAATTGTTAAAGTTTTTTTAAAAAAAGTTGTACAAGCAAAGCACTTTCATTTTTGGTTTTACAGGCAAGAAAAGCCGCAAGGAGGTTGGTGTGACCTTTAAAAGAATCCATATAGGTCAAGACTAGCAAGCTAATTAAACAGAATTGTGAGAGAGAAGATGAGTCAATGCTTTCTGCTTTAAGGATTTAAGAGAAATTTCCCAGGATTGGCCAGATGGACAGCAATCCAGCTTCACAGAAACTCAGGGTGAGCCCCCACATGGTTAGGGCCGGAATTCCAGCGCTAACACATTGGGCCCAGGATCGCCAAGCAGCCTAGAATGGAAACAACACGTCACTATAAGTCCAGAACGGTGTCTGGCAGTGCCGTTCTTGCCTGAAGGCATAGACCTGAGTCTTGCAGGGGAGGGCAGTCTATTGAGAAGCTGCACGGGGAGCAGATATCAGAGGAAATAAAAATGAAAGAACACCAAAAAGAATGACTTCCAGACAACAGTTTTTTGTGTGTGTTCTCAAGTGAATAAAGTTTTCGTGACTCTCGCAGAATACTTGAGTGCCGGAAAGTCAGCACAGGGGTGTGTTGAAAACTGCCAAGCCACCGAAAGAAGTTTTTCTGAATCACTCATTAGCGCTCCTGGGAATAGCTTATGGCCAGACTGTGGACAGAGGGCACAACCAGGGTGTCGCCCATCAGGAGTTCACATGCCAGGTCCATTAGAGTTGGCATGGACAACGCCACTTGACCCAAGTGAAGTCTACGCACTCTCAGTTCTGACATCTGATGTCGGCAAAGGAAGAGGCAGCTATTCATTCCATGAATGGGGGCAACACAAAACAGAAGGGACAGTTTTAACTGTACTGACCAGGGCTCTGCTCATTAGAGCAAAGTATGACACAGCCCCCACATGACCCCTCAAGAAGATGGGTGTTGCCTGGAGAGTCTGTGCTGTGCTGGGCTCGTCCTTCCTTACCTGTCTCCAGGCGTAGTATCTCTCTGCTTTAATGAGCATGTCCACCACAAGGCTATGGTTGCTCCTGGAGGCCACAGCCAGGGCAGTCTTTCCTTGCTAAAATGTAAAAAAAAAAAAAAAAAAAAAAAAAAATCAGGCGGTATGGCCCAGCGATTAGCGATTAGGAGCTCTGGTTTTGGAACAAGGGGAACTGAGTTCAAATCTTGATTCTACGACCCCATGCTGTGTTAACTTAGGCCAGTCCTTTTCTCTTTGGGTTTTTATAACTACCGCATAGTGGAGTGGTCAGGAGTAAACGTGATCACGCATATAAAGCCTTTAGAACATACGCTAATAACCCTGAATATTTCCTAGCCTCTTCTGCAGTTAGGGATGTGACCTAAGTTCTGGCCAATGGTCTGTAAATAGAAGTGGGACATGCAACTTCTGGGAAGTATCTTTAAGCAGAAGAGGGATGAATGGCATTTTCCTTCCTTTCTCCTTCCTCCTGAGTGGAATGCTGACATGATGGCAGGAGCCTGAACAGCCTCTTTAGACCAGGAAGTAGAAGCCATGTTTTGAGGAGCATTGAGTAGTAAGACAGAAAAGGGCTGGATTTTATTATGAATAATATCAGTAATGGCAACACTGGTCATTCATAGCTCACTGGACCCCCATCTAGAATTTTTTTCTATTATACCATACTGCCTCCAACCATGGGTGAGAGGTTTGAATCTTAACCAAATGGAATGATCAACAAGGGCTGTTCTGGACATAATTTTGGGAATGCTCTGCCTGGAGCCCACATGGTATTGTAGACAAATTACAAAAAGGTACACCTTTCTCAAGACGGACAGAGGTTAAAGCCAGGGCACACAGCTTGGTAAGCAGAATCCCCTGGAGTTCATACAGTGTACAAATTCTACATCTAAACATTTTTCCCTGAGCAAAGGATGGTGGTTCTCATTTGCTTTTCAAGTGACCCATGAAGAATTTGCTCAGAAAACAATTAAAATTAATGGTCAGAAATGACCCAAGAAGAAGTTCCAATCTTAGGAACCTGTGTTTCTACCCTTATGGATCCAGAAATACATCCCAAGTATTATCTTACATGGTTAGATATTTGCAACAAGTGCAAATCCCACCAATGTAAATGATTTGGTTCTTAGTCTAGGCACTAAGACCCAGGCGAGCAGAAAAATTAGGGCTGAAAGTAATCAGCCTCTAATCAAAAGAGACAGTAATGAAATTAGGAAGAACTGCATTTTGCAGGCATTTAGCAAGCCTCTAATTGCATGCTGTCTACATTCTGGCTTGTAAAGCCATTTGAATCACTATAATTAGCCTGCTTTGAGAAGGCAGCATTCCGAGAGCCGGAGTTTTCAAATTCATAGGAAAATCTTCCTAGGGAATACACGCTGGAGTAAAAATCCAAACACTTCTGCCCTTAGGAATTGGGAGGTAGCAGGGATAGAAAATCCTCTGGGAGCTTTGCAACACTTCAGGCCAAAAGGACCAGCAGAGAAAAAGCTGCTGGGAGAGTCAAATTTACACCAAATTTTGGCTCCTTATTTCCTAAGCAGACCCTAACATGGTCCTAGAAACACTTTTCTTTGACAACAAAACTTGTGGGATCCAATAGAAAAGATACTTTTTAGTCATTAATTATATATTGGGTGCCAACTAAGTTCCAGACCCCAAAAAGACAGGAGAAGGGAAATCTGGGGAAATCAAATTATGAGGCCCCACAAACTGTGAGCTCTTGTTTTGAAAACAAAGTCAACTGGTAGCATTGACTGTGTTTACTGGAATATCTACTGCACTGAGCACGAGGGGCCCAACACCAATTCCTGCCTAATGCTATAGATTTTCTACCCACAGAATGGTCTTCAGGGTATTAAGTGTTCATGAAAAACTAGAATAAATTACAAAAAGACAACATTAGAAAATACTAATGCTAAGTGTGAAACCAAGTTAACCAGGCAGTGAAAGGGGTGGAATGCTACAGAAGTGATAAAACATGGGTGCTTGTGTTTTCCTTCCTTATGCTTTTCTACATGTTCTAAATTGTCCACGGTGGGCCTGTGTTACTTTTATGATAAGAAAAAAAAAAGTTAATTTTAGAAACTGACACACAGAGAAAAGTAAAATAACATATAAATACTTTTTAGATTCTACGCATGTAACATGGATGATTCTGAACCAGAGTAGGATGGACTCAGGCTTCCGCTGAACAGTGTGGGTAAAAATAAGGAAGGGAAAACTGCAAGTTTCAGAAGTGGTCATCTTTGCTGACAGTTGTAGCAAAGCACCAGATGACAGAGCAGACACTACTTGGGTTTGAAGCCAGCTCTGCCTCTTACTATGCGTATGACGCAACGTCCATCCATGGCTGAATGAACAAACAAAATGTAGCATAGACACACAATGAAATGTTATTCAGCCTTGGGAAGAAATGAAATTCTGACACATGCTACAACATAGATAAACCTTGAAGACGTTACGCTAAGTGAACTGAGCCAGTCACAAAAAGGCAAATACCAGGTGATTCCAATTATATGAGATACTTAAGAGTGGTCCAATTCACAGAAACAGAAGGTAGAATGGTGGTTCCCAGGGACTGGGAGAAGGAAGAAATAGGGAGTTACAGAACACGTATAAAGTTTCACTTTTGCAAGATGAAAATGTTTTGGAGGCTGATTGCATAACAATGTAAATATACTTAATCATACTGAACTTAAAAATGGTTAAGACAGTGCATTTCATGTATCTGTACCGCAAATTTTTTAATTTATAAAACAAGTTTAGACGTATGTGAAGTCATTCATTGCAGCTCTGTTTGTAAGAGCAAAACTTTAGGAACAACTTAAATGTCCATAAATTGAGGAGTAGTTGAACAAAGTGTGATACGTCTGTGCCATGCTACACTATGCAGCTGTAAAAAAAGAAGAAACTCTCCATGTACTAATATGAAAGATCTCCACTTAATAATGCTAAAAAAGCTAAATGCAGAACAGTATACTCGTTATGGGTAAGCCATCAGTGTCTAAAAAGGACGGAGGAAGGCAGTAAGAGTATAATGTGTTTATGGTTGCTGGCATATGCATAAAGAACTCTAAAAGGAACAGAAATAATTTATAGTAATGGATACATATGGCAAGGTAGTTTGGTAACCAGACAAGTAGGAACGGGGTGGGTGGGAATTTTTTACTGCTAAGCACTTGCTAGTTATATTCTTTTATTTTTGGACCATATGAATCTATAATTTTTTTTTTCTTTTTTTTGAGACGGAGTTTTCCTCTTGTTGCCCAGGCTGGAGTACGATGGCACGATCTCAGCTCACTGCAATCTCTGCCTCCCGGGTTCAGCAATTCTCCCACCTCAGCCTCCCAAGTAGCTGGGTTTCGAGGCACGCGCCACCACACCCAGCTAATTTTTTGTATTTTTAGTAGAGACGGAGTTTCTCCATGTTGGTCAGGCTGATCTTGAACTCCTGACCTCAGGTGATCCACCTGCCTCGGCCTCCCAAAGTCCTGAGATTACAGGCGTGAGCCACTGTGTCTGGCAGAATCTATAATCTTTTCAAAAATTTAATGAAGAATTTGAATTTTAAAACCATGTAATTGTTATTCAAAATAAAAATTCTTACTGTCATAGCTCAAAATTGGGATATTGTACTGACTATGAAGATACATGGTTTCTCCAGTTTGTGCCCATTTCACAAAGGCTATTCCAATGTCACTGCTCAAGGCTGACAGCCAACAGGAAGGTCTCAGCAACCATCTCAGCTGAATGAAGTCCATTCACTTACCTTGTCAACAGCCTTCAAGTCACAGCCTGCCTTCAGCAGGGTTTCCACCAGTTCCACATTTCCTCGATCAGCAGCTACATGCAGAGGGGTTTGCTGCCTCTGCCACGAAATTAAGGAAGGGAACCAACTTGGATGGTTAAAAGACAAGGCGAAAGTAGAGCCATCCTATTTAGGCTCAAGGGAAAACAGAGGTCGTATGTTTTTAAATGGATATGGGGGCAGTCATTGCAGTATTATTTGCAATAGTGAAAAACGGAAAGGAAATTACATGTTTAACATGGAGACTCATTAGATAAATTATGATACATCTACATACTAGAATAATAGACAACCATAAAAAAATTATCTTTAAAAAATGATTTCAATACTAGGTGCCTAAAGTAGTCAAGTGTAGAGAGACAGAAAGCAGAATGGTGGTGACCAGGAGTTGGAGAAGGAGGAAATGGGAAGTTGCTGTTTAATAGATGCCAAATTTCAGTTTGGGAAGATGAAAAGTGTTCTGTAGATGGATGGTGGTGATGTTATACCACAATGAATGTGATTAATGCCACTGAACTGGACACTTAAGATGGTTAAAGTGGTAGATTTTGTTATGTGTGCTTTACTACAATAAAAATTATTTCAAAGTTTTTTTGAAAATAAAAAAATACTTTTGATATAATGTTTGAAACTTTAGGAAATAATACTATCTGGTTGCGCTTGATTTAATTAAAATACATATAGAGAAAGAAGAAAATACAGTACATAAAAATGTTAATGCTAAGGTCTAGACGAATGGATTAGAGTTTATTTTTATTGCCTTCTTAATGCGTTTCTCTGCTCTCTAAATGTTCTACATTATAATGTATAAAGGAGTACAAGCCTTCTAATTTCCTTCTGGAGTAATCATTTTCCTATCAAGAGGATAAGAGTTTCAAAAGAAATATCTGAAATCACACGAAAATCACCTATCTTAACCTCTCACCAAAAGGAATGCAGATGTGAAGACATTTCTAAAATATTCGGGCAGAGAGGAGCCTTAGATGTGATCTAGCCCAACTCCTGAACCAGAAAAGGAAAGCAGCTTCCCCAGGGTCACAGAGGTGGGCAATGGCATGTGGGCCACTACTCTTCCCACCAGAGCACAGGGCCAACATGCTGGAGATGCTACGAAACGGGATTTATTTGTTTATTTATTTATTTATTTATTTATTTATTTTCTTAGAGACAGTTTCTTACTCTGTCACTCAGACTGGAGTGCAGTAGCGTGATGATAGCTCACTGTAACCTCAAACCCCTGGGCTCACGCAATCCTCCCTTCTCAGTTTCCTGAGGAGCTAGGACTATAGGCTTTGCTAATTTTTCTTTCTTTCTTTCTTTCTTTTTTTAGAGATGTGGTCTCACTATATTGCCCAGGCTAGTTTCAAACTCCTAGCCTCAGGTGATCCCCCTATTTTGGCCTCACAAAGTGTTGAGATTCCAGGCATGACCCAACACACCTGGCCTCCAAAAAGCATTTCCTAAAGGCTCACCTTCAAGTGGCAGTGTGTCTAGGTGTTTGTCATTCAAGGCATTCCACTTATACTGACAACCCTATCAAAGATCTGTACCGCCATGGAACAAAGGCGGAAACGGAATCTATCAAGTCCAACAAAACCCATTTTAACAACACTGCTACAAGCCTAGAAGGCAGGGAATGCACTAAAACATTAACAAGAGTTATCTCTCTTTGCTGGGGACTTCAAACACATTCAGTGTTTTTTTAGCTTATATTTTTAAAAATTTTACATACATATTTTATATTTAAAATATAAATGCTCCTAGTTTCTATGTGTATTATTGGTCTAATAAAAAAACTGAAGTGATAAAGTCTGGTTCTGTAAAAGGATAACAAGCCTAATAAACACTCCTTCCCTAGAGTGCACCTAGCCAGTTCTGTCAAAACCAGTATCACATGAGAGCACAAGGCTTGTTTATTTAGCAAAGATTTTGCCCATTGGAAAAGATTTTAGATATTAATACAGTTGAATACATAAGTATATTTAATAACAAGAGGAGATTGTTTTTTTCCTCAAAAAACTTTTGGGATAGGTAAAGGCAGGGGAGGAGGCTAGATTCTCTGGAGAAGGGAAGGGACCGAATTCCACGTAAATCTTCATTCAGCTCAGAGCAAAACTTAGCTTATAGGTGGGAACTGGAGAAGACCGTAGAGACAGGAGTCAATGCTCTGGTTTCACAGTGCATCAGGAGGACATGCAGGCATGCCCACTGCATTGTGGCTCCTTCCTAAGCCGAAGGGGCACCGCAGAGGCTTCTCTGGGCAGAGGCAGCCGTAAGAACTCATCCGGCCTCAGGACCCCAGAAAGGCTCCTCTTCCCACTCCCCTACATCTCCTGGAAGAAGGCAGGCCAGCCCCAGAAGAGCCCCAGAGAGCAGGCTCATCCAGTGCCCACCCCCATTCTCTTCGTGATTCCACTGTGGCTTTCCCGCTTTCAGCCAGTGATGGATTGCTTTAATGAGTCATTTGACTCTGCTCCAGTTGACTGAACTTGTGGTGATTTTTCTTTTATTGCAAGAGATCTCTTTTGCCTTTAGGCAAAGAGAAGACACATTTACTGTATTTAATATAGAAACAAAGCTTCCTTCTTGTGGGGGAAAGGCTCCCTGCCAATTACAATATTTCACTCTGGAGGAGTGGTTTTTGATTTAAAGAGCCTCCGGCCATTTAGCTCTAAGCTACTGCTTTTCTATCGAAAGTGCTGGGTCTGTTAAAAATGAAGGATTTAGTCATGCACTGGCTGAACTCCAGTTGTGTGGCTGAGAAAGACAAAAGTATGTGTGTGGGCATGGGGATGCAGTGGGACTTACAGAAGGAGAAGGAGAAGGAGAAGGATTAAAAGGATGCACATGTTCCTCCCAGGAATTTTTAGGTACCTGGAACTTGATCAAAACTCCCCATAAACACACATTGTGTTGAAACATGAGAAAACAGACCCTCCTAGTTCTGATTTGCCTGGCTTACCTGATTTAAGACATCAATATCATGCTGTGCACTTAATAAGCTGTTTACAACTGTGATGTGGTTGTTGATAACAGCTAAATGAAGAGGGGACTCCTTAGGCTGCAAGAGATAAATAAAAATGTCAAATGCAAAAGGTTCTGGCTTTATTACTCAAATCAAAAACCAACTCATTTCAGCAGCTATTTCCTGATGATCTCCCAAGTACTGAAACTGCCCATCCCAGTGGCGACCCCCAGTAAGTGTTCAGCATTTATTGTCATCCCAAGGCTCTGATGCAAACTTGCTCCCCAGCAAATGGCTCATCCACTTTGTTCTTTCTGGAACTACATACTAAGCACCTACTATGGGCCAAGCTCTTTTCAGGTTGTCAGGGATTTCGTGTGAACAAAGCTCATTCTCAGGAATCTTCCAATCTAATGGGGGAACGAAATATTGATTTTTTTTTTTTAAAGTCACATAAATACAGAATACAATTAAGTGCTTTGGAGGTAGAAGAGCCAGTGTGGGGTAAGGGGAAGACTGACCTTTCAGGAGATCAGGAAAGACTTTTCTGAAGAACTGACATTTAAGCTCAGATATGAAGGATAAATAAGTGTTAAGTAGGCTGAACCACAGGACTTCTCAGAGCCTTCAAAGAGCTAAAGGGCAATGAGAGTAGCCACAAGGGTAAAACCACTGCACATTTGGAATTTCCCGTATTGATCTGCTCTGGAGCCCTGACTCCTTAGCATGTCCCCCTTGCTCAAGGGCACCATCCTCATGCTCAACCCTCCCCGCATAGAGTCCAGCCACAGGGTGTTCACCAAGCCCTCTGCAGCCTGCTCTTCTGTTCCCTTCCTTTGTGGCTAAACCACCTGCCTTCCCAGCCACAGCTCTTCATGGAGCCCCCGGACCCTCTTACTCACTGATTCCCACCACTGGCTTCTTCCCCGGCCCTTCATCTCTAGGCTCCCTTGCTGCTGCAATCCCACCCAGCTGCCACTGGCCTGTGGAGAGAAGACATGCCTCCAGTAGAGACTGCAGCTGAGAGGGGGAAAAAGGGAGGGAAGAAGCAATGAAGGGAAGTGAGGGCAAAAGCAATTAAGATATGAGAGAGAAGGAGGCATCATCCAGCATGATGACGAGGGAGGGAGGGGGATGCCAGGGGAAAGTGGGAAGGGGTGTGATAGCAAGGGCTGAAGATCCAGCGACATTGTGCAGATCAGGAGCCGAGCTGCGTGTGGAGTAAGCGGAGAGAGGGAACAGGTACCTGCAAGGGAGAGTGATTAGGTCGAGTTCAGCGTTGCTCCAGTGGAATAGCTGATATTAACGATACGCGTCAGACACACTCAGCACATTCTCATTGTGGTGCATGCTACACACTCATTTCCCCAACAGTTTTTTTTTTTTTCTAGAGATGGGGTCTCGCTCTGTTGCCCAGGCTGGAGGGCAGTGGAGCCATCATAGTTCACTATAACCTGAAACTCCTGGGTTCAAGTGAACCTCCCACCTCAGCCTCCCAAGTAGCTGGGACTGCAGGTGTGCACCACTGTGCCTGGATAATCTTTAAATTTTTGGAGAGATAGGGTCTTGCCATGTTGCCCAGGCTGCCCTAACAGTTTATACTCTGTTTTAAGCACCAGCCTGACAGTTTTTCAGAAACCATGTTAATAACCCTAGAAGTTTGATCTCATATTCCCCACTTCATTTATGAGACGCAAGGAGGATCAGTAACTTCCACAAGGCCATGCAGCAAGGAAGTGGCAGACACAGGACTTGAACCCAGACCCTTCTGACTCTGCCATCTGTACCAGGCTCCGTCTCAGGAGATGGGGGTAGGTGGATGGAAGAGAGACCATAGTGAGTTGGCAAGAGTGTCACCAGCAGATGGAGGGAGGGGAGACAAGGAGACAGATAGAAGACCACAGCTGAGTAAGTCAGAGATGGTCAGAGGCCAACAAAGGTCAAAGCAGACAGATGGTGTGAGCAGGGCCATGAAGGCAGCATGAAGGGAAGAATTTCTGTATAGATCCCTTCTGCCCGGGAATAACCTCCTTGAGGCACTAAGCATGAAAACCGAGAAAACATCCACATTGCAAAGAAGTGGGCATTGTCCTTGCCGGGGCCACCCGCCTTGCAGTGGCCCAGCTCCTCCTGGGAAACAGGAAGCGTCCTTGGACTGAACCAGGTAAGTTCAGAGCCAATTCCACCAACACCATGCTCCGAAAACTATCAGACATGGTTTAAATCACATCCCTCCTCTCGAGTTAATACAATAAATAGTAATGGCTCAGCAAGATCAGAGGAAATCATATTCTCAACGGAGAAATGAAAATAGTATGGAAAAATAGAAGCATGTTTTTTGTTTAATTCCAACACAGAGAGCCTTTTGTTAATTCTGCCAAAGCCAATTCAAACGTCAGAAAACCTGAATCAGTAAAAAGAATTGGCTTTCAAAAGAAAAGCAAGATTATTCAGTGAAGGGAGAAAAATTATCACTCTTCTTGATATGTATAGCTGCTTCATTATTTTCCCAGGCTGATAAAATTAATACAAGCATAATGGCATCTCTAGACATATGAGAAAGCTTTACTGCAGCAAATACAAATATTTAAAACACAAAGATTTCATTTTGTTCAGGAACTTCAATGACTTTCTAAAATTCATCCCTCGGATTTTATTTCTCAAGATTAAGACTCAGCCTCCAAAAGAAGTCAGCCAGCCTTCCCAGAAAGAATTCCTCCCTTGTGAAACATCTCATCTCCTACATGTATCTGCAAGGGGCATCTCCCTGGCACAGCCAACCTCATGGCGCCAGGACCAAACCTTTGTGTCATTAAAATAAACTCACTTCCACTTTCGGGTGTAGATCAACATTCTCACAGAGAAGAAAGTTAACAAGGGATGCATGGCCGTTCCTCGTTGCTACCTGCGAACTACTGCTATTGAGCTGCAAGAGACAATGGAGAGGGCAGGGAGGAACTCCCATTATAATTCAGCATGCTTTCTGGAGTTTATCACACAGTAATCAGTTAATACAATGAAACAGTACAACTACAGTCATGCATCACGTAACAGTGATTTGGTCAATGACAGACCCGCAGTGGTCCCATAAGATTACAATGGAGCTGAAAAATTCCTATGGCACAAATACTTAACCATTGTGTTAACTATGTTGTACAGGAGCAATAGCTATACCATAGGAGCCTACGAGTAATAGCAGGCTGTACCATCTAGATTTGCGTAAGTACACTCTACTAGGTTTGCAAAATAAAATCAGGCATTCCTCATAACATTTTCCTGTCATTCAGAGATGCATGGCTATATTTAAAAAAGAAAATCTGGCTGGGCACAGTGGCTCATGCATGTATTTCTAGCACTTTGGAAGGCCAAAGTAGGTAGATCGCTTGAGCCCAGGAGTTTGAGATCAGTCCTGGCAACATGGCAAAACCCTGTCTCTACAAAAATTAGCTGGACTTGGTGGTGTGCGCCTGTGGTTCCAGGTACTCAGGAGGCTGAGACTGAGGTAGGAAGATGGTTTGAGCCTGGGAGGCAGATTGTAGTGAGCCGAGATCCTGCCACTGCACTTCAGCCTGAGCAATAGAGTGAGACCCAGTCTTGAAATAAATAAACACAAAATCCATTGTGTTTTCAATTATTGGAGTTGGGGGGGCTATTAATAGGTTGGTGGAAAAGCAATTGTGGTTTTACCTAATTGTCTGTTTTTTTCTAAGTATTTCCCATAAAAGTGTCAGAGCCCCAGGGAACATATGTGCAACAGACTGAATGTTTGCGTACCTTCCACAATTCGTATGTTGAAACTCTAATCGCAGTGTGCAGATGATAGGAGGCGGGGCCTTTCAGAGGTCGAATTACCTAACACTGTTGACTGATTAATTGTAAGATTGCTACAAAGTATTTTCAGGTCTTTCAAATAAGGATGCTGTTGGAAACTGTTTTCCCAAAATGGCTGCATCAGTATCTCCTGTCCCACAGGCTCTTGGCAGTATGACCTTGCCACTCCCCTCATTAAGAGGAGGGGTTTATTTCTTCACTCCTTTGAATCTAGGTGAACCCTGGGTGGAGCCCTCAGGAATGAGATTCGTGCCCTTGCAAAAAGAGGTCAGAGAGCTGGCTAGTTCTCTTTGTGCCATGCAAGGCTACAAGAAGAAGACAGCTGTCTGTAAACCAGGAAGAGGGCCTCATCAGAACCTGATCTGCTAGCACGCTGATCTCAGACTTCAAACCTCCAGAACGCTGAGAAATAAATGTTTGTTAAGTCCCCCAGTTTTAAGGTATTTTTTTACAGCAGCCTGAGCTGACTAGGATACTATGCCTAGGGCAAATGTGAGTTAAATCCTCATTTCCCTTCTCCCAGGAGGTATGAAGTGGACTAGAACCAAGTCTTCTCTCTGGGCACCTCAGCAAAACCCCTCTTCGAACCAAAATAGGTGACTTAGTATCGGCCCCAGGAAAGGCCTCCATTTCCTGCAGGCCTGTCTGTTTACTGCCAGTGTCCCCTGTGCTAGGCAGACATTCAACGCTCAGCATAGCTTCTATGTGCAGCATTCCCCCTTCATCTTCTTATTCAGCCCCTTCACTATGTGAAGACACCTTGTAGCTAGATGGCACACTGCTTGAGGGGATGGTCAGCTCTGGGCGCTCCTGCCATACTCCAAATGGCCCAGCATGGTGCCTTACAATAATACAAGGTCAATGAATTGGTTGTTGACTGATTAACTGTAAGACTGCTATGAAGTATTTTTACATCTTCCAAGTAAGGATGCTGTTCGAAACTGTTCTCCCAAAATGGCTGCATCTCCTGTCCCACAAGCGTGTCTCCAAAGTGATCTTGCCACTCCCTTCATCAAGAGGTGGGGTTTTCCACCTCACTGAATCTGGGTCGACCCTGTAACTGCTTTGACCGATAGAATATAGCAGAAGTTCCAATGTGCCAGTTCCAGGTGAGGCCCCTAACTAACCTGGCAGCTGCTGCTCTCTGCCTTTTGTCATGCCTGCTCTTGGAATCCTTCCTCTTAGAGGACAGTTTCCAGGCTGTAGGCTAAGGCACATGGTGAGGCCCAGGTGAGCTCCCAGCTGACAGCCAGCATGAACTGTCAGGCATGTGAGGGCGCTCTCTTGGATGTCTAGCTCAGGTAGGCCTTCAAAATGCTGGCCAACTTCCGACTGTAATCACGTAAGAAACTCAAAGTAAGAATCCTCTCAACTGAGCCCAGTCAACCCACAGAGCCATGAAAATAATAATACACTGTTATTTTAAGCCCCTGGACTTTGGGTTGGATTGTTATGAACCAATAGATAATGGAACAGATGCCAACAGGAATGACCTATCTCTGACCAACTGAAATCTAGCTTGCATGATGCTAAATGCTTATATGACCTTGGATAAGTGGCCTATCAAGTACGGACCTCTTTATCTTCATCTGTAAAAATGGCATAACCCCCTATATTAGTTTTCTATTATAAAACATTGCCACAAAATGAGTGGCTTAATAAAAATGAATTATCTTATCGTTTGGGAGGTCAGAAGTCTGAAATGGATCCGACTGGGCAACTAAAAAAAAAAAAAATGTTCACAGGCCTGTGTTTTCTTTCTGAAGGCTCCACATCCTTTTCTCTTCTAGGTTTTAGAAGCCTCCTATGTTCTTTGGCTCATATCGTCTTGCTCCATTTTCAAAACCAGCAATAGTTAGCTGAGTCCTTCCCACATTGCATCAGTGACATCCTCGTCTGCCTCCCTCTTTCATTTTAAAGAACCCTCAAGATTACACTGGGTCCAACTAGTAATCCCAGAGAATCTCATTTTAAGATCAGCCAGTTAGCAACCTTAATTCCATCTGCAATTTAAATTCTCCTTTGCCATGTAACATAACATATTCACGGGTTCCAGGAACTGGGATGTGAACTTCTCTGGAGGTGGGGAGCCTGATTCTACCTACCACATCATCCTACCTCTTTCTCTGAAATCACAGTACTACTGGGAGGATATATGAGCCACTAAATGTGTATGGCAACCATAACTATTATTTTATCCATTACACACACACACAAAATACTGAGCACCTATTTTGTGCCAGGCACTATGATAGTGAAGAGATATGCTGGTAAACAAAACTGACAAGATACCTGACATTACATTTCGGTGGTGGTGGACAATCAATCGATCCATAGATTGGTAGACTGGTAGATCAGTTAAATCAGTGGGCTTAAATTAAATCTGCTTGTTAGATTCTAGATGTTGTTAGAAGAATAACATTATCTAGTTGTAAGTTCTACAAGACATAAAAGACATAACATGACTGGTTGGCTACTTTCTCATGGCTGATCAACAAAGCCTTGTTGGATAAGGTGACATTTAAACTGAGATCAAAATGGTCAGAAGTGCTCTCACTGGGACGATCAGAAGCCACCTAAAGCAGAAACAAATTTACGAGAAACTCAAAGCAGGAATCCTGTAGTAGGAAGAGCCACGAGAGTCCGCAGCATTTACCTCTAGGCATCGTGGGCTCTGTGTATGGGGCCTACAGACTTTTTATGAGCCAAAGAAATCGTTAAAATGTAAAAAAAGAAAAAATTTATTGGCTCCACGATACCGAAAAAAAACCACAAAATTGAAGTGAATAAATATTTAATTGACATTCATACTTCATTGATTGTTAAATGTAATATTCATAAAATATTCATTATATTTATAAACAATTTGTAGCTAGTATTTTTCACCTCCCTCAAATTCCCAATTATGTACACAGAGTTCTAAGAAATCAGAGTCAATCATAAATTAGGTGAGTTTGTCATAGCCAAATAATTGCAAAAAAAGCAAAAACAAAAAAGGCTTTTAGAGTAATTAACAGCAAAAAAAAAAAAAAAAAAAAAAAAGTAAAGAAGAACGTGGGAGCATTTAAATATGTATGATAAAATGTGAGGTAGGACCTCCAGGAATATGAGTTCTTAGGATGTACAAAAGTCTTCATTGAACCCAGGGCAGTTAATAAGGCCCTAAAGAGAGCCTGTTGCCCTAACCCTGGGCAGCACCTCCACCCAACGCAAATGGAGGAAGCTAGCTGTCAACTCAATTCATAATCTCCCTCCAACATCCTCCTTAGAAATGACTCAACCCTTTACCCTCTCCCCTTGCTGATGGGAAGGTGGGAGGGAGCACAAAAGGAATCTCGTGGACACCAAGGCTCATCAGTGTAGGCAGGTGAAGAATGTCCACGATCGAACACAGCAATCACCTACAAATGTGAAAGCAAAACGAAGTCCAACCCATCCCGGGATCATGCGTGTCCTTGCTGTTAGCCTTTTCTTCACACTGCTTTCCTCCCCAGGGTTGTCACTGGGGTGGACAGATCAGTGTGGATGGCAGGTAGGGGGCTGAGGTTGCTGATGGAGAAGTGTGCTGATGAACTTGGGAAAAACTCGAGAAGTAAAAGCTAAGAAACAGATTCACAATAATTTCCAGGCTGCCTAGAGCAGCTGAGGCCACTGGCTGTAAGCATGGGGACAATATGGAGCCTGCAGTCTTAGTCGGATAGAGAGAACGTGAGCAACTGAAAATCCTTACAAAGCAAAATACTTAAGGGCAAAATAATTAAGAACAAGAATGAGGCAGGATACAAAATAATGGAATAAGTCTGACAGGGTCTTGCTCGTCTGGGAAGCCTTCCCAGGATCTTGAAGGGGGATACAGACTGGGGACAAGGAGGCACCTGTGTAATGACCGACCAGCAGCCCGGCTGTCCACATTCTGAATATTTCATGGCTCCCATGAATTCTTAACTTTGTGTTTATTTATTGCATCAATAACCTTGCAACTTCAGCGGGAATTAACTCACACTATTTTGACCTTCCTCTCTCACAATCCTTGTCCATGTATATATAAATCCAATATCATATTAATATTGACTATATTTTTTCAATTAGTGTTTT